TCCCCGTCGAATTTGCTACCAGTAGTCGAGCAAGAGATCCTGTTGGCTACTTGGCTGGGTTCATTCAAAAGCGGTCATCATGAAAAGTAAGGCTGATCCTAAGCCGTCCTGAAGTCTGGAAAGCACCCACATTTCCTTCATCGGACATGGTACCTGGTGTATGGGTTTGACGCCCTGATCCCGCTTGCAAATGAAACAGACAATCAGATGGTCTCACCTGCGGGCAACTCGAACCCAAAACTCATAAAAATAAGGTCACACATTCACATTGAAAGCTGCGAAGTACAAGGTCAAAATTATAAGGTCAAGTCAGGAAGTCAAGATGTTAAGCACAAATGAACTACCGACGAAGAACTGCATAGGTTGCTGTCGCTTACGATTGGAAGTCAAGAGGACTTCTGTAACTTTCCTTTACTGATTTCCCCGTAGTAAAAATACAGACGCACTTGCTAATACCGCTTATTTGGTCGGTGAACATTTATAACATTACAGATATTTATATGGACTTTTGACCGGGCTCGGATCATGCCAACTTGGCATACGAGGGCGAATACTTTGTCAAATAACGACTCTTTTGTTGGACCGAACTGCTAAAATCGATGCTTTAAAACAGAACGTCTCGTTTGTTATCCTGTATTTTATCAAATACGTAAGAATTTGTTTGAAAGCGCTACCGGCAAAAAGAACAGAATACAGTTCTTTCTTGTCGAGGTTACTTTTTAAGAATCGAAAAATTTCGACACTGATTATTTGTTATCGTCTTAAATTTCGTGGCTTCACATCTTACTAGTTTTAAATATATAATAATCGCGTTTCCTTTTAAGGTGTGTCGTGTTTTTATAGCATCATTATGTTTCAGTGCTTCGTCGCCTTCATCGTGCTCGAAGACACGGAAGACTAGCAGTGCTGTTTCTCAGTTTTCTATCGTCGTAAGCCTGTTGCATATGACCTTGAGATCCGAGTCCGTTGTTTGTTTGAGCATCAGATTTAAATCTAACGCCCAACCGTCTGGCCTCAGACTCTGTCTAATCCTATCGCGTAAACGGGCAGAACAACCTGACTGTGCGGAAGAATAGGACTTAATTGAGATCTGTCTCGAAGTCCTAAATCTATAACACTCAAAACTGTCCGCATAGCGATAAACAAAGCACCGGTTACAAATGAGCTTGAACTCATCAATCCGGTCTCTCTTTCCTTTGTCCGTAATCTTCATTTGCGTGTATTGATAGTCACTCTGTGACTGCCAACGGGGCTCTAGATTGAGCCCAAAATCAGAACGGTGCGAGCCGCACGTCGGCAGACAATACAGACAGATAACCTAACCGATCGAGTCTCAAGACACGCCGGGACGAGTATGTCCTAACATAGTTGATGCACCCAGTCGTACCTGACAGGACAGCGAGTTCCTTGCCCAAAAGTTAGAGCGTCGGTGTATGTTTTACCGATGGCGGCTGCTAATTTTGAAATGGTCATCCCAGTACCCGTTCTCTTTGTGGTTATGTTATCCCGCCTTTATACAAAAATACGCTTGCATACAGAGTTCCCAAACCACCAGCTATATGTTTTCCGTGTAATAAAAATCGTATATTTCTATATACTATTAAGAGGGGATTATATAGGGTTCATAAAATTTAGCAGCGGATTTGAGCCACTTTATACACTTTACAGGCAACCTTAGTAAATTCATAGGCAGGATGCCTTATGAACGGGCACTTCACGGTTTTAAGAAATCGAATAATTAGAAACCTTGTTAAAACCGCATTATAATCTTCTTTGAAGTAAAAAATTTGAAACAGGCGTAGTTTTCCACCAAACGGGTAAAAGAATTAATATTTTACGCATGTTTTCTACCAAATATATTTGAATTTATAGGGGCATCGGAAATCAATGAAAGAATCGTACCACTGATGCAGTCAGTTTCACGGTGTGTATTTTTTGCAGACGACCAGAAAGAAGTACGGTCAAAAGCCGGCAGCCCGAAGTAATGAGAATATCTTGAGATTATACTGCACGGTAATTAATATTACAATCCTACTTAAGCAACATTTCGAAGTTGAAAATGCATTCCAGAATTTCCGGATACGATTCCATGCGTTAGCACATCTACTGTATATAAAGGCCTAGAGTGTCCAGTTAGGGGAAACCACGCATTGGTGGTAGATTACAAGTGGTGGCTGATCCTCATGGTCCCTAACTGGCACCTAATCAGCCACGTGGAACAAACTATAGGGAAACCAAAATCAGGTAGTAGTTCGTAAGACTGAAATTCTTAATTCAGTTAAAGAGGTTGGCCTCTGTAGAGTGACTGAGTGTTACACACATTCGCTCACCAGCTCGTCTGCAGTTGACAAAAGTATCTTGGTTGAAAATACTGCAATCAAGGTAACTAGCTAGATACCCAACCATGCGCTTCCTGATTTCATGCGGTGTTAAAGCCTTGATACGTTAGACTAGGTTTATCGCTGTTCTCCCAACATACTTAACGATTTTTCCGCTGTAAAGTTCAGTCTTAAATGTTGAACATCCTGCCATCCCTATGAGGAATATTTGAACTTGGAGTTATTGATTTCAAATAAATGTTTTCACATTCGTCTCGTAGTATTAAACGTGTAGTAGTGTTAACGTTTTTGGGCCATAGAATGATACGAACGCCTCGTATCTACTTCGTAGAGAGGCAAAAACCTGAAAAGTCATTGTGTAGGCTTTTGGATATTTCACGGGCTGGCTTATTAGAAATAAACCACCATTTATGTAAACTTAATCCCGGCTGGTATAGTGTTCAAAGCGCCTGGTTATTCCGCCGAATGTGGTAGATTTCATCTGCGAGGCAGGTATGACAAGTTTGAAGGTCAACCGGGTAGTCGTGATATGTCGCACCATGTACCTCCTGCAGGTGGTGGCCGCTCCTTGTGGTCCTAAGCTGGCACTCAATTCTCATCTGTGGTTCTCCGAAACTCTTCCTAGCTGCTACAACTCCGTAACTGCATCGACTTTCGAGCCAAACAAAATCAGGCTATCCGATGTTGTGTATGTCCTCACACCCGGTAATTTTATCCTATTTAGCATTCTCCCTCTCATCAAAACCCTTTCAAAAAGTTCCACGGAGAGGGTGACACGTAGTCCCGTAAGACACCCAAACTAACTCGGGTACCTCTCCCACTGAATCAAGCCGGGACTAGTAGTGGGGTTCGACAGTTGTCTGGGATATTTAATCAGCCCGACTTAAGAAAGGGGCTGGAAGAAGGGCCCCAAACAAATGCTGGGAAGTCGTGCCATCGGCAAGCATGCTGTGGCTCGTAGACGCAAAACCACTGTCAAAACAACAGAACAAACAACAACAGCAACAAAAACGCATAGAAGGAGACACGATCGCTGGAACAAGTGCTTTGCTAGCCTGACGTTTCGGATTCTCACTTGAATCCGTCATCATATGCAGAGTCAGATAAGTGTAGTAGATTCTCCAGGTGTTGCAATATTTATAGGGTGTAGTTGCTCGGCCGCTACATGCCCATCACAGTTGGCACGGACCGAAATACTGGGCAGGGTATGTGGATGATACCTTCGTTGTCATCGAACGGGAGCAGATGCTGGAATTCGAAGAACGCCCCAACGCCATCTTGCCAGACATTCAATTTACGATGGAGG